TTTTTTTGATTTTTTCCACGTCAGGCTGAATTTTCTGTTTTTGACTTTCAGTTCCCAAATAGTTCTGTTGCGTATCTTGCAATGTTTAAAAGAAGTTAGTTGCTAGTCCTACGTATGTTTGTGTTGATGTTTCTGTAGTTAGTTGCTAGTCCTACGTATTTTTGTGTTGATGTCTCTCTAGTTATGGTCGTATTTTTGTGTTGATGTCTGTGTAGTTATGGTCGTATGTTTGTGTTGATGTCTCTCTAGTTATGGTCGCTTGGCATATCACGTGAAACAGAAAATTGAACCTGACGTGGAAAAAATAAAAAAAAAGCCAACCATAAAATAATGAAAACAAAAAATGTAATTTATGCTTGAACGAAAAGTTTATAATCATTCTGTAAGAAACACCTATATTCGCTAAATAAACGTATTAATGAACTCGCAAGCTCATACCCCCACAGAAATAAATACACGCTCAAGAACTTCTATGTAACCCGATAAATGTAGCCTAGAAACATGGGCTTTTAGAGTGGTTTTCATAAACCCGTGAAAAAAGTGTAATAATTAGGGTGTAATAGAGCGTAATAGTCGCGTAGAGACAAAAAAAAAAACAACAAAAGAGCCAAAGTGTAATAGCGATAAATACGCTAAAGCGTGTTTCACGGGTTAATAAAAACCACTCTAAATTACCAGCATAGGATATCTAACGGTCATTCATTGTAAACTGCCTGATGAGTGTGGGTCAAACCATACGATAGCAATAAATCAATGTTTAGCAATAAATCAATGTTAATCAGCGTTTAGCTCAATATTGTTATGTATAAGAATTGCTCGAATAGGGGTCTCCGAATCCGCCGATCCGCTCATTTTTTTCTAAAATCCGCCGATCTGCGCAAAATTTTGCTTTAATCCGAATCCCAAATCATGATAGCAATCGATAACAAGAAAATCATAAACTCCTGCTAATTCAAGACCCGCTGACGCCATATTTGCCATAATAAGCTCAGAGAAGACTTTTCCACACAGCGCAGAGCCTCTTGGGGACTTCTTCAAAGTGAGCGCACTTTAAAGCCGTAAAACTAATCCCTTTTGTGCTAAATAATTCAATTTGTTGAATGTTATGGACAAATTAATGGTAAAGATTAATAGTTATAAAGGATGTTCCACCTCAGTAACACAACTTTGCATATTTATCTTTATTTACACTTTAAATATGCTTTTTATGTTTTAAAAAATATTGCAAGTGATATTACAACTAAAGTAGAGAACAAACTCTATAGATTCAAGTCATTAGAAAGATTTTCAAGATATTTGACKTTAATCTATTCTTAAATTAAGTTTGCGTGGCGTGTGAAAATTCCACTGCACTAATTACCCAACGAAGGGTGTAGGTGGTTGCTCATGGAATAGTTATTACAATGAATGCACAAAGCTCTTTAATAGCGCATGACCGTCATTAGTCTCTTTCAACAGCCGCGACTTCCGGTCTCGTCAAATTTTTGGGGTGTCAGTAAAACACGGAACACCACCGGAACACCCCGGAACATGGCCGGAACACCCCGGAACACCGCCGGAACATGACGGAAAACGGCCGGAACACCCCAAAAAAATAATATAAGTAGAATATAAAATGAACTGTACATAAACTAAAAACTAAATCATCGTTCGTTCCTGCACCCCAATCGACAGCAAACCGTTCAGAACCGCAGTCATGGAACCTAACCCATGACATCATCCCTCGTTCCTGCACCCCAATCGACACCAAACCGTTCAGCA